AAAAAATTTTTTTGCATGAGAAAAGATCATTGTGCAGATGAGAGAGTTCAAAATTATCTACGCATAGCAGTTCTGCCTGAGCACACAAGTTTAAAGTTTTGTAATAAAACTAAAACCAATCTTCTAAAAGTGCCGCCAGCTTTTAGAGCTTTAAAAAGTTAACTTAAATGATAAACTGTCCCTGTTTAGTTTCTACTTATTGCAAAAGTTATCTTTAAAATGTCCTTTTACTGATCATTTTGACAGCTACCACCACTATCATCATATAATTCATTTGTGCTTCAGAATAGAATCACTTATACGCTACGACCAGTGATCGTTAAACATTCATCTAAAAAGCAAGCAGTCATATATTATTTGACAATATTTAACCGCAAAACAAAATTTAACTGTATTTTCCTTAAGTCAGTAAAATTTTTATTCTACAGAAATACAATCTCACCTTACAAGTCTATGAAAACGTCACTTTACTTGAAAAAAACATTATTAACGAAAAAATGTTGTAAAAACAGAGAGCTAGATCAATAGCCAAATTTTGATTTAATATAACACCATAGCTTTCTTCTATTACTGACAGAATTTAACCGTTCAAGGCTTTCTTAATGTTGATAAACACACGTCAATCTATACTTGGCTAACCACTTTGAGTGAAAAGCTCTTTACATAATTCAATTAAGAAACAAACAAAGCTCGAAAATGCAATTTTTTTCAAAGTTAGTAGTTTATCATTGCATCCAATGATAGCTTCCAAATAGATAAGTACTAAAAAAAAATAAACTTTAATTTTGCACTAAAATATAAAGTTTCAAGACTTTAGGCTATAAACTGCTGCTAAAAATATTTTCCAAATATTTCTGATATTTACATTCTACTAATGTGTTTCTACAAAGCCATTTTTGCTGTATTTTGCAGGTTAGTGATAGTTCTAAATAATTGAAACATAAAAAAAAAAGAGCATGTCAACCTTTCCAGCTATTTACAAATTTGAAGACTTTGTAAGAGAGGTGATTAGAAATCTTAACTTACAGGAAATTATCGCAAACCAAGTTTTAAATCGACAAACTTAACAAAATACTGATGTAGCTACATAAGATTTCTGGGTCGAAGAGAGTGGAGAATCACTAATTGTAAAGCACGCCATTCTATCCGCTACTAAAATCGCTGTAAGACCGTTTAGTGGCCATGTAAAACAGATTTAAAGCCTTTTGACTATTAGTAAAATTGCATTTATCGTATCGATGTTTTATTGTGATAAAAGTCAGTTGAGACTGTAGAAGAGTTTATCAGAAAGGTACAAAACAGAATGTTATGTTAAATTTTCGTATTATTACTGAAAACAATAATTGAAACATTCATCAATTTATCTAAAGAATACTAGACACATAACTGTATATTACACCAGTATCAACGTATACTTTAGAACCATTATTTGACAAACTTCAAATAAAAGTGTATCAAAAGTTAACGGTAATATTAGAATAAGTTTCTGGAGCAGTCACAATCGAGCATATTTGCAGCGCTTAAAAAGTTTTCAGAATTAGGAGATCAAATGCAAATTTCTCCAAGCAGAGAAGTTTAGAACACTTTCATTTTTTTCGATGAGCTAAAAAACTAACTTATCATAGAATATAAATGCCTAAAAAACAGTTTATAACATAGCTTTAAAAGTTTATTACTAAAAAATTGTAGTGAGAAACTTGTTACAATTCTTTTACAGAAAAACAAACTAAATTAAATTACAATAATTGTCTCAATAAAACCAATTTAAATTAGAACAGTTGCAGTGAGACTTAGCATCCAGCTACTTTTAATAGAAAAAAAAACCTAATTTTC